CTGGATACGGGGTTACAGAGGTGTCCCTTTGAAATGGTCGAAAACTGGATTAATGACCCCACGCAGTGGCCAAATATGGACAATTCAGACATCTAACGTTACCACCATCTCGTGGAATCACCAAGTAAGTAACGTTAGCCTATTTTTTTTTGTCATTAACACACTCACAGTATGACAAACTAGACGATGAGGCCATGTCACTTGGATCATATTTAACTTGATTTAAGCTATTGACAGTTTTGTTGTCGACTAGCTATACTATACTGTTGAAATAGTGGCAGGCTAGGACTAAAGTGGACTTGGCTGGTTTCTGCTTGTGTCTAGAAAGTGCTAGGACTTTGAAAGTTGTAAAAAGGTTTACAGTGTACGGCAAAATATGTATAGGACCTATGTATGTACGGGGCTATCAAATTGGATGTTGTGACATTACGCTAGCCTAGAAGGCTTGATCTACTGCCGTTCGTGTTGTTACATGTAGCCCAGAGCAGTGCTCGTCGAAAAGTCATATAGGCCTAAAGCACTTTCTAGACACAAGCAGAAACCAGCCAAGTCCACTTTAGTCCTAGCCTGCCACTATTTCTACAGTAAAATCAGTTAACAGCCAAGGTAGCGTGCCTAGTGAGAGCTAATCACATAATGTTAACGTTAGCTGCTAGCAGCTTCGTCTTTCTAACTAACGTTAGTATAGCTAGTCGACAACACAACTATGTCAATAGCTTAAACCAAGTTAAATATGATACAAGTGACATGGCCTCATCGTCTAGTTTGTCATACTGTGAGTGTGTTAATGACACACAAAAAAAAAAATAGGCTAACGTTAGCTACTTACTTGGTGATTCCACGAGATGGTGGTAACGTTAGATGTCTGAATTGTCCATATTTGGCCACTGCGTGGGTCATTAATCCAGGTTTCGACCATTTCAAAGGGACACCTCTGTAACCCCGTATCCAGTAGCTTCTTTAAGTTTGTGCCATTTTTGCTATCAAGAAACTTAGCAGATTTGGAGCGAGTTCTGTTCTCAGGGGAATCCGTTTGTTTTCCCCCAAAAGGGGGCGTTACCCTTCGATGACGCAAAAGTAGCGTTGGTCTATTAAACATGTCCAGTTACCCATGTGATCCCAGGACTGAAGTTTAGAAATGTGGGTTTTATAGCGTTGGTCTATTAAACATGTCCAGTTACCCATGTGATCCCAGGACTGAAGTTTAGAAATGTGGGTTTTATAAAGTGATTTTACATGTAAATGTACAGCAGTGAGCAGTGACTGAGCCTCTGTGTGTGTCCAGTGGCGGATTTAGCAAATTGGGGGCCCAAGGCAAAGGTAGTATGGGGCCCCCCATCCGATCTTTAAAAGAGAACGAAAAAAAAAAATTCTGCATTTTTTTTTTTTTAAATAAACTATTACATGGCACTTTCTGGAGAGTTTTGTGCAAAGAAATATAGAAAAAAAGTAGGTCTAGCAAGTCTTATATTTCTGTAATTCACACAGATCAAACACAAATATGCTGACTGAGTAGATTGCTAGTTGAGAAACACTGCTTTAATTAATGTTTTTATGATGACTTTGTGAAAGGTTAACTAAACAGCATGAGCCGTCTTCCTGCTGGCCAGTAAGTTATTTGGCAAATTTCATTCATACAGATCTGTATTATGCTATAGTTTTTGATAGTGTTATACATTTCTTACAGATAATCACGATGATCATTGCGTTTGTCTTACCGAATGTGGTAGCTTTATGCAATTACAGTTTGTCTAGCTTTTTTTTTATTAATGCCGACAGTAAAATGTTGCCAGATATTGCTACGAAAAACAAGAAAACAAAATAATAATAATCCGAAATAAGTTCAAAGCTTGTGTTTTGGAAATAAGATTAATATATCACTAACCTTAACATGCAACTTTCCACTTTAATAACTTCCTATAGTGTCACATTAAATCAGAAAAACAGGTCCAGAAGACTACTGCCACCTTTCCATTAGTGGATCTGGCAACACGGAGGCTGCACGCGCGCCCTCACTCACGCGCTCTCAAGCCCCGTTCCCTTCGCTAGCTTCTCGCAGCAACATGCATTGCAAACACTCATATGAGGTGGTTTAAACGGCTAATTAATCATTCAGAGAGCTTGACATTTTATTTTTGAATGTAAAATATGACAGAGTTCCGGACCTCGGTCACCTCATAGCTGGCTACGGCCATGGACTTGTAACATATTAGCACATCATCACAAAAAAGTTTGTCACCTTCTGCAATTTTGCTAAAAACGTTTTGCTTTCCTCCCGCTTCCTGCTTTTTCAGCACCGCGTGGGTAGCTTCTCTGTCTGTCACTCTGTAGCCTACACTGTCTGTCACTCTGTAGCCTACACTGTCTGTCACTCTGTAGCCTACACTGTCTGTCACTCTGTAGCCTACACTGTCTGTCACTCTGTAGCCTACACTGTCTGTCACTCTGTAGCCTACACTGTCTGTCACTCTGTAGCCTACACTGTCTGTCACTCTGTAGC